CTGTCGTATATACTGATGCTTCGCTGGAGAATATTCCGTTTCACTATCACTACTGGAACTGTTTTCAAGAGCTTGTAGTTCATATTCACTATCACTATCATCACCAATGCTCACATCTGAGTCTGGGATATGGGAAAATAGGAGTTTCCTCTTTGGTTCTGGTACAACTGAACGTGAACAAGATGGCCCAACACCAGAGGTGAAAGGCTGAGGGTCGTCTGGGTTTTCCTCACTATTAGTGGTATTATGGTCATTAGTTTTGGCCACAACCTCATCAAAACCTTGAAACTCATCTTCACTGGCACTTCCATCTGTATTTGAACTGTCACTGGGTAACAAAAGTGTCCCAGTTCGCTGAGAAGTGAGGAGCTTCTTTCCGCGAGGCATGGTGAACAAGGTCTACTACAATGGATTTCCCACAATGCACCACTGGGTCCCAGAATTTTTTTCTACCACGCACACCGACCACGCACACCCATTCTCTCGCATCTAGGCCTACCAACTGTTTCCCGCTTAATTTGAAGCCGCTAGAATTTACGCGTACTAGTACGGCACCAACCCTGGCGCGCAAGCCATAGTAGTAAAGCACCAACTCAGAAAGGGTTAATAAAAGAAATGGCTTTACAAATCCAATACAGAGAATAAACTGAAGATGTGAAGAGGTAATTTAACCCCTTAACTGTCGCAACCCCAAATCCTGAGGTGTCTCCTGGTGTCACAAAATTTCAAGGAAAAAAAAAAAAATTCTTATGAAATGACAGAGAATCTTTTCCCGATTGCAATGACACCAAAAGAATGAAATTTGATGGAAAACTGGTGGACTTAGCGACCTCGGCAATATTTATGAATCGGCGATTTACCCCACTTTGAGCCCCATTTTCTGCTAATTCCGTTGTTCCAGCCGGCCAAACTCATAGCTATTTCTTTGGAATTCTATTTTTTCTATCGATTGAGTACAAGAAACTGCCCATTTACCAATTTCAATTACCTAATAATGTGGTCAGAAATTTGCAATTTGGCCAATTTCATGAAAATTAAAAAATATGACAATTTCAAAATAGGGTCCAGAATGAACAATGCAGACATTCCTGGCTCTAAAATAACATTTTCTTTGTTCATCAGTCACTTGTCCAGGCCTCTCTGATATTACTCTTGCTTTCTATTTTGAATTTTTATTGAAACAAAAAATAGAAGATTTACTATTATGCAGACTGCTGCATTATTGTAATAATTGTTTAAATAATGTCAACCCATTCATGACTGCATATTAGAATGGCTACTTAGACATTTATTGGAAAATGACTTAATTTGTTTACTTTTGAACTTCGGCAAAAATCAATTTCGCCTATTTTGAGCTCCATTTCAAGGTTCTTGTCATAGTGAAACCAATCAAAATCACCTCTATTCATATGATATGTTTTCCATTCTATCAAATGAGACCGAGAAAACGAGAATACAACCATAAATACTATATGAAAATAGACCACAAAGTCTGCATTTTAATTAAAAAAAAAAAGTTCGGAGTTTTTTTTTCTCAAGCACTGCGTGCTGCAGGATTTTTTTCATATGGTGCACACTGACCACACAGACCCATTCTCTCACATGTGGGCCTACCAGCTTTCTCCTTCTTGATTTGAAGCCACTAGAATTTATGAGTATATTTACGTCAAAAACAGTGGCTCATAAGACGTATATATATGACCAAAACAGTCAAAGGGTTAAGTTGGTCAATCCCTCAGTCTTGACATAAAGAATTCAGGCTTGATAACTCAAGTTATCAAGGCTGAGGGACTGACCACCTCATTTATTCTCTGTATTGGATTGACAAAGCAAGTGGTTGGTGAAGTGTCTCCATAATAATGATTCCCAAGCGTTGTATGTGTCTCATTCACCAAGAAAGGCTGGAGTTATTATTAGAGGTTGATATTTAACCCCTTCAGGGTCCAAGGCCCAAATCTGAAGTGGTGCTCCAGTGTCCAAGAATTTTCAAAAAAAATTTGTTATTTTTTCTTATGAAATGGTAGAGAATCTTTTTGTGAAGGTAATAAAACAAAAAGTACGAAATTTGATGGAAAATTGACGAAATTATGCTCTCGCGAATTTTGATGTGTCAGCGATATTTACGAATCGGCGATTTTGCCAACTTTGACTCATATTTTAGGCCAATTACATTATTCCAGTCAACCAGATTCTTAGCTATTTCACTAGTATTGCTTCTGTTCTATCGATTGAGCACAAGAAATCGCCAAGTCAACTGTTTCAACTACAAAATAAAGTGATCGGAAATTGTTAATTTGGCCAATTTAACACAAAGTTCAAAATATTCCAATTTCAAAATAGGGTCCAGAATAAACAATGTAGGTATTCCAGGAACTAAACTAACATTTCCTCTGTTCATTAGTTACTTTTTGAGGCTTTACAAATAAATTCCATTTTGATTTTTTATTCACATAATGAAATTTTATTCACGCCAAAAAATAGACGATTTACTGTTATGCAATACTGTAATAATTGTATAAATATCATCACCATATTTGTGAATGCATATTAGACCCACCAGCTGGCGTGTATTAGACGTGTGAGGTCGTTTGTTTACTCTTGAATATCGGCAAAAATTTAACATTTCTGCTGCTTTGAGCTCAGTTTCAAGCCATTTCCAGTGCTAAAACCAATCAAAATCATCTCTATTTCTGTAATATGTCCTCCTTTCTATCAAATGAGACCAAGAAATTGCAAATACAACTATAAAAAACATACGAAAAAACACTGCAAAGTCGCTGTTTTAATCGAAAAATCATGATTTCAGTTTTTTTTCTCTCATACACAGTGTGCTGCAGGATCTGTTTTGTGTGGTGCACACATACCACATAGATGTATTCTCTCATATCTAGGCCCAAATGTACCACTCACAGTTTATCAGAGTGAGCTGAGCTCATGACGTAGATCTACGGTTTGGACTCTGAACGTAAAGCCGTAGATCTACGGGACGGACCCTGAAAGGGTTAAAGCTGGTCATACTTATGTTGTGACTGGTGTAATTTTAAGAAGTTCAATAAGTTGTGTACAAAATATATTTAATATTATTATTTTTTTTTATTATCACACTGGCCGATTCCCACCAAGGCAGGGTGGCCTGAAAAAGAAAAATTTTCACCATCATTCACTCCATCACCGTCTTGCCAGAAGGGTGCTTTACACTACAGTTTTTAAACTGCAACATTAACACCCCTCCTTCAGAGTGCAGGCACTGTACTTCCCATCTCCAGGACTCAAGTCCGGCCTGCTGGTTTCCCTGAACCCCTTCATAAATGTTACTTTGCTCACACTCCAACAGCACGTCAAGTATTAAAAACCATTTGTCTCCATTCACTCCTATCAAACACGCTCACGCATGCCTGCTGGAAGTCCAAGCCCCTCGCACACAAAACCTCCTTTACTCCCTCCCTCCAACCTTTCCTAGGCCGACCCCTACCCCGCCTTCCTTCCACTACAGACCGATACACTCTTGAAGTTATTCTGTTTCGCTCCATTCTTTCCACATGTCCGAACCACCTCAACAACCCTTCCTCAGCCCTCTGGACAACAGTTTTGGTAATCCCGCACCTCCTCCTAACTTCCAAACTACGAATTCTCTGCATTATATTCACACCACACATTGCTCTCAGACATGACATCTCCACTGCCTCCAGCCTTCTCCTCGCTGCAACATTCATCACCCATGCTTCACACCCATATAAGAGCGTTGGTAAAACTATACTCTCATACATTCCCCTCTTTGCCTCCAAGGACAAAGTTCTTTGTCTCCACAGACTCCTAAGTGCACCACTCACCCTTTTCCCCTCATCAATTCTATGATTCACCTCATCTTTCATAGACCCATCCGCTGACACGTCCACTCCCAAATATCTGAATACATTCACCTCCTCCATACTCTCTCCCTCCAATCTGATATCCAATCTTTCATCACCTAATCTTTTTGTTATCCTCATAACCTTACTCTTTCCTGTATTCACTTTCAATTTTCTTCTTTTGCACACCCTACCAAATTCATCCACCAATCTCTGCAACTTCTCTTCAGAATCTCCCAAGAGCACAGTGTCATCAGCAAAGAGCAACTGTGACAACTCCCACTTTATGTGTGATTCTTTATCTTTTAACTCCACGCCTCTTGCCAAGACCCTCGCATTTACTTCTCTTACAACCCCATCTATAAATATATTAAACAACCACGGTGACATCACACATCCTTGTCTAAGGCCTACTTTTACTGGGAAATAATTTCCCTCTTTCCTACATACTCTAACTTGAGCCTCACTATCCTCATAAAAACTCTTAACTGCTTTCAGTAACCTACCTCCTATACCATACACCTGCAACATCTGCCACATTGCCCCCCTTTCCACCCTGTCATACGCCTTTTCCAAATCCATAAATGCCACAAAGACCTCTTTAGCCTTATCTAAATACTGTTCACTTATATGTTTCACTGTAAACACCTGGTCCACACACCCCCTACCTTTCCTAAAGCCTCCTTGTTCATCTGCTATCCTATTCTCCGTCTTACTCTTAATTCTTTCAATAATAACTCTACCATACACTTTGCCAGGTATACTCAACAGACTTATCCCCCTATAATTTTTGCACTCTCTTTTATCCCCTTTGCCTTTATACAAAGGAACTATGCATGCTCTCTGCCAATCCCTAGGTACCTTACCCTCTTCCATACATTTATTAAATAATTGCACCAATATATATAGTTGCATAATTTTTTTCACAGCATGTTCCTACATTATTAGTGTTTACACTGTGCCTCTCACTCTACTTAGTTATCATGTATCATCACAAAATAACACTTGCTCACTGCACAAATTTTCTTGCCCTTATAAGTTCAACAATATGTACTTATTTGTAAATCTTCTGCATCCATGCTAAGTGGTTCAGAATCATAAACTTTTTTCTTTTTTGAAATGTGACAGGTCACTTTAATATTTCCCCCTTAGGTCTCCGAGTTGATCGATATGGTGCTAGACTCTTTCATCAAGCGGTCGGTTACGGGTGGCCTGGGGTCTGGTCAAGCGGAGATCATGGCTGATACTGCTGTGGCCTTAGCATCTGCTAATGTGGCTTCAGTAGCAAGAAAAGTTATTGGTCGCCTGTGTAGGGTAAGTTGTTTCATTCTATATGGTAGAATTAATGCTTAAGCCATGTATGGCAGACTTAATGCTTAAGTCATCACATTCACCTTTTTGCTTCCATGGATAATGTTCTTTGTGTCCAGACTCCTCAGTGCACCACTCGCCTTTCTTCCCTCATCAATTCTGTGGTTATTACCCTCATCACCTTGCTTGTTCCTATGTTCACTTTTAATTTCCTCCTGTTTCATACCCTCCCAAATTCATCTGCCATCTTTTGCAATGTCTTTTCAGAATTTCCCAAAAGCACATTGTCATTGGCAAAAAGCAACGGTGACAGCTCCCACTTTGTATTAGATTCTTTATTTTCCAGTCATACCTTTCCCCAATACCCCAGCACTCACTTCTCTGCCCATACTTAATTTTATACAAACTTAATATTCAGGGAACCTGCATGTCTGAGCCTTTGTGAAAAGTATTCATTGACTCAACAGATAACTGATCCCACTAGAAATGAAAATACCCTGGATTTGATATTCACATACAACGAGGAACTAATCAGAGACATAACAGTTACAAAAACAATATACATCATCCAAGTACAAGCAAGTATAAACTCAGGGTTAGGGAACTGCAGCACTAATGTAAGAGAAGGGATGTTCAGTAAGTTTAATTTCAACAACCATAGGATTGACTGGGACAAAATGAACCAGGAACAGACATGGGCACTTTAAATTCTCATGAGTGCCTGGACAAGCTGAATACAGAAGTATTAACCCTTTGACTGTTTTGGCTGTATATATACGTCTTATGAACCAATGTTTTTGATGCATTAATACGCCAAAATTCTAGCAGCTTCTGATCAAACGGGAGAAATCTGGTAGGCCCTCATGTGAGGGAATGGGTCTGTGTGGTCAGTGTGCGCAGTATAAAAAAATCCTGCAGCACGCAGTGCATAATAAAAAAAAAAAAAAAACTCTGACTGTGTTTTTGGATTAAAACGCCAACTTTGAGGCTTATCTTTGTATAGTATTTATGGTTGTATTCTCATTTTCTTGGTCTTATTTGATAGAATGGAAGATACATTACAGAAATAGAGATGATTTTGATTGGTTTCATGATGAAAAGAACCTTGAAATTGAGCTCAAATTAGCAGAAATGTTAGATTTTTGTCGATGTTCAAAAGTAAACAAATCACGCCACACATCCAATACACATCAACTGGTGAGTCTAATATTCTTTCACAAGTGCACTGTTATTATTTATACCATTTTTACAATAATGGAATAGTCTGCATAACAGTAAGTCTATTTTTTGTGAGAATAAAAATTCAAAATGGGAAGCAAGAGTAATATGTGGGGCCTGAAGACATGACTAATGAACAGAGAAAATGTTATTTTAGTGCCAGGAATGTCTGTCTTGTTTATTCTGGACCCTATTTTGAAATTGGTGTTTTTTAATTTGCTTGAAATTGCCAATTTCTGACCATTTTATTGGGTAGTTGAAATCGGTAAATGTATGATTTCTTGTACTCAATCAATAGAATAAATGGATTTCTAAAGAAATAGCTGTGAGTTAGGTTGACTGGAACAATGGAATTGGCCGATAATAGGGCTCAAAGTAGGCGAAATCGCCGATCCATAAATATTGCCATGATCGCTAACTTCATGAGAGCATAATTCCTAAGTTTTCCATCAAATTTCATACTTTTGGTGTCGTTACCATCAGGAAAAGATTCTCATCATTTCATAACAAAAATTTTTTTTTTTTTTTCGAATATTTTGTGACAAGAGAGAGACTTCAAGATTTGGGGTCACGACAGTCAAAGGGTTAAATACAATAGGGTCCCACTTATATGGCAGGTTAGGTTCCAGGCTACTGCCGGAAAGCAGACTTCGCTGGAAAGCAGAAATCCATTTTTTCATTTATAAATGCATATAAATGCCAGATGACAAGTTTACACTAACATATAATAAGTTAGCAATAGAACTAGGCATTAAAAAGTAAAATACACACAGAGTACACTCATTATTTACCTCAAACTATTTGTCGTCTTAATGTAAGGCAAAAGGTGAGTAGTATTTACTGTAAGAAATCAGGTGTGGTAGCCCTCCTGACCACCTCACCCACTCATACTATACTGCGATGCTTAAAGCTCCCTAGAGTGATAAAATGCATATACAGTACACTCAATACTTGCCTTAAAATATTTGTAGTCTTAATGGTATTAATGTATTGTGAGAGGTGAAAAGTATTTACACGTATTTGTAGAAAGACGTGTGGGAGTTATGGCATCCTGCCTGGCCACTCCCACCTACTACAACATTAAGCTCCCTAGAACGATAAAATGCATATACGTATAGTACATTCATCAACCCGTAAACTGTCCATATGTAGATCTACGTTGACATGCGTAGTGCTCCGAACGTAGATCTACGTCCGATTTTACATGCTTTCAAATGGAGAAAATCAAGGTCGAAATGCTACACATGTCAACGTAGATCTACGTTTGGAGAGTTTAAGGGTTAATTACCTTAAAATATTTGTGGTCTTAACCCTTTGACTGTTGCAGCCGTATATATACGTCTTACGAGGTACAGTGTTTGACGTATATATACTCATAAATTCTAGCAGCTTCAAATCAAGAAGGAGAAAGCTGGTAGGCCCACATGTAAGAGAATGGGTCTGTGTGGTCAGTGTGCACCATATAAAAAAAATCCTGGAGCACGCAGTGCATAACGAGAAAAAAAAAAACTCCGACCGTTTTTTTAATTAAAATACCGACTTTGTGGTCTATTTTCGTTTAGTATTTATGGTTGTATTCTCTTTTTCTTGGTCTCATTTGATAGAATGGAAAACATATTATAGAAATAGAGGTGATTTTGATTGACTTTACTATAAAAAGAACCTGGAAATGGAGCTCAAAGTAGGGGAAATGTTTGATTTTTGCCGATGTTCAAAAGTAAACAAATGATGTCATTGTCCAATAAATGTCCAACTAGCCATTCTAATATGCAGTCATCAATGGGTTGATGTTATTTATATAATTATTACAGTATTGCAGTAGTCTGCATAATAGTAAATCTTCTATTTTTTGTTTGAATAAAAATTCAAAATAGAAAGCAAGAGTAATATCAGAGGGGCCTGGAGACATGACTGATTAGCAAAGAAAATGTTATTTTAGAGCCAGGAATGTCTGCATTGTTCATTCTGGACCTTATTTTGAAATTGTCATATTTTTTAATTTTCGTGAAATTGGCCAAATTGCAAATTTCTGACCACGTTATTGGGTAGTTGAAATTGTTAAATGGGCAGTTTCTTGTTCTCAATCGATAGAAAAAACGGAGTTCTAAAGAAATAGCTATGAGTTTGGTCGACTGGAACAATGGAATTAGCGGAAAATAGGGCTCAAAGTGGATGAAATCGCCGATTTGTAAATACTGCCGAGGTTGCTAACTTCGCGAGACCGTAATTCTGTCAGTTTTCCATCAAATTTCATTCTTTTGGTGTCATTACAATCGGGAAAAGATTCTCTTATCATTTCATAAGATATTTTTTTTTTTTTTTTTTTTTTTTTTTTTTTTTTTTTTTTTTTTTTTTTTTTTTTTTTTTTTTTTTTTTTTTTTTTTTTTTTTTTTTTAGCGACACCAGGAGACACCTCAGGAATGGGGTTTGCGACAGTCAAAGGGTTAATGTAGGGTGAGAGGTGAGTTTTATTTGTATGAAGTCAGGTTGGGAAGTATGGGTAGCCAGGAAGGGAAGCCCTTCCCACCCCACCCACACGTAATGTAAACAATTCAGACGAACAGAACATGTCTGGTTTTCATCACTTTACTTTGTGTACAAGTTGTCTGCAAATTGATACATTAGAATAAATAAAGAGAAACACTCCCATTCTCATGTAACACCATTTTTAAAAGAAATGACGCCCTGAGTGAAGGCATACAAAAGGAATAATTTTCTTGCTACCCCCACTAATGTTATAGTGTACACATTTTCTTTGATTATTGACTACAAGTTGCCTGGCTAGCACAAGTCCTACAAGTTGCCAGGCTACCACAAGTCCTACAAGTCGCCCTGACTACCACAAGTCTTACAAGTCACCTGGCTACTGCAAGTCGTACAGGTTGCCTGGATACCACAAGTCCTACAAGTCACCTGGCTACCACAAGTCGTACAAGTTGCCTGGCTACCATATCTCATATTTGTTAATTTATTCTACTGTGGGGTGTATTTAGATGGATTAAGCGAAATGTCTATATTAACGTTTTGCACGATATTTAATGCGCCTCATAGTGATTATTATTGTGTTATTGTTTTTTTTTTTTTTTTTTTTTTTTTTTCAACAAGTCGGTCGTCTCCCACCGAGGCAGGGTGACCCAAAAAAAAGAAAGAAAATCCCCAAAAAGAAAATACTTTCATCATCATTCAACACTTTCACCACACGCACACATTATCACTGCTTTTGCAGAGGTGCTCAGAATACAACAGTTTAGAAGCATATACATATAAAGATACACAACATATCCCTCCAAACTGCCAATATCCCAAACCCCTCCTTTAAAGTGCAGGCATTGTACTTCCCATTTCCAGGACTCAAGTCCGACTATATGTTATTGTTATTATCATTATTAATATGTCGTCTTCAAGACTAATAAGACACTCTTAGTGATTTTAATGTGTACCTGCATGCCAGCACAGTATGTAAGTTTACTTAGGTATAGGTACACATAAGTATAATTATCAGTTATAATAATAATGTAGGTATATAATCCGCCTGGGCTACATACCTACACCTACCTACATAGCTACACGATATTTAAAGTCGCCCAGAGCCATATTATTACCATCGACATACCATGTTCACGGAGTTTAATTGTTTCTATCACTACCTTTAGATGCCATCATAAACAAAGGGAGAAGTAATGAATAATTCATGCCGAGAATTGTAAAGAAAAGCGTTATGTATTAAGGGGAGTGACGTAATGTTTTCCCTCCGACCGGCTACCACACCTCCATAGTATATAAACATAAAATGTTTATATACTATGTAACATGTTTCATATATAATTTTGAAGAAAATATCATAGATGGATTAATGAAAATGTCTATATTGCTTAAAATAAGACATTTAATGTGCCCAAGAATGATTATTATTATTACGTAATAGTGATATGTGCTCACGGAGAATATAAACAAACCAGTGGTGTACACAGCATTTGAAAGATCGCTCGCCGTATAGAAAGTTTTGGTCATAATTTAAAATCGCCATAATAGTGGAATGCTGTAAAGCGGGGCCCTACTGTACTTACCATTGAGGAAACCCAGAAGAAGATGAGTTATAGAGAAAAAGAGGGTAGGAGATAGTACAAAAGAAGAAAACAGGTTACTGAATTGCTTAAAAACATAAACATGTCACTACGAAGGAAAGATAGTCTTAGCCAAGAGATCACTGATTTAGAACAAAAACTTGAGAGGTCATACCAAACAGAAGAAGCACAAAGGGAACAAAAGGTCATCCAGGATATTCCAAGATATTCAAAATATTTTCATTCATATGCAAAATCTAAACTAAGAACTACCTGCAGAATTGGACTGTTAATGAGAGGAGGCTCGTATACTGATGATGAGCAGGAAGTCAGTGATATTCTAAAAGAATAGTATGAGTCGGTGTTCAGCATTCCACTAAATGACAGCAGGGTAGAGAATGCAGAAACATTTTTCATTCCAGCAGAAGGCCACACAGACCAACTAACTGACACTAGTGCCAATTCCATAGATTTTGAAAAAGAAATTGAAATCATGCCCAGTCACTCAGCACCTGGACCAGATTCATGGAATATCTTATTTATAAAAACGTGCAAAGTACCACTAGCAAGAGCCCTCAGTATTCTGGTGAAATACCAGAGACTTTAAAGAGTGCAGACATAGTTCCTTTGCATAAGGGAGATAGTAGAGCACTAGCTTAAAATTACAGACCAGTAGTACTAACTTCCCATATCATAAAAATCTTTGAAGGAGTGATGAGACAGCAGATTACAAATTTCATGGAACAGTACAATTGGCATAACCCAAACCAGCATGGTTTTCGGGCAGGATGCTCATACCTGTCACAGCTGCTAAACCACTAAGACAGAATTTCAGAGGCTTTGGAAGATAACCAAAATGCAGCTGCTAAACCACTAAGACAGACTTATGGAGGATTTGGAAGACAACCAAAATGCAGATTTGATATACATGTACACAGACTTTTCATAGCCATTTGACACATGTGATCATGGGGTAATTGCACACAAAACAAGGGCCATAGGCATTATAGAGAAGGTAGGCAGATGGATTTTCAGGTTCCAAACACACACAACACAAAAAAGTAGTGGTAAGTAGAGTAAAATCCAGCATCAGCGAGGTAAAAAGCTCGGTTCCCCAGGGCGCTGTCCTGGCACCTCTGTTGTTTCTCATCCTCATAGCAGACAGGTACAAACACCCATCACAGTTTTGTATCATTTGCAGATAACACTAAAATAAGCATGAAAGTCACTTTGGTAGAAGATACTCAAAAATTACAAGATGTAAGTAGTGTTTTCCAGTGAGCAGTTTGGAACAACATGATGTTCAGTGGTGATAAGTTCCAGCTGCTTAGGTATTACCTCATAGCGTTATTCATTTTATTATGGATTTTTTCTTTCAAGGGCTTCATCAAAATTCTTATCTTGTGATGATGCTATAGTTCATTTATGTATTTTCATTAGCACTTTTACAGGGCTTTTGAGATTTAATGTTTTATATCTTTTGGTGACATCTAAATTCTGTTTGGTACAGGTTATTTATTATTCAGGCATTGTTAGTTTCTGTATAAGCATCTATATTGGTTTTCATTTTTTACTGTTTCTGCTTAGAGAACATTTAAGTTAGATGTCTAAAATGGAATTCTTCTATAAAATTGATGATTAAAATATTTTGCAACTGGCAGGTGATAGACAAGACCTGCACATCTCCAACACCGACACTGGAACAGCACTTGATGTGGGATGACATAGCCATTTTGGCCAGATATTTACTCATGCTCTCCTTCAACAACTGCCTCGATGTAGCACGCCATCTACCGTACCTGTTTCATATTATAACCTTCTTGGTGTGTACTGGACCAGTCTCCATGAGAGCATCCACACATGGCCTTGTCATCAATATCATTCACTCACTATGTACCTGTACCAAACCCTCTTTTTTAGGTAAGAAATTTGTAAGTAAATTTAAATGTGCTTCCTTAGAACATACTTTTGAAATTAATTGGTCTAAATTATATCAGTTATTATTAAGAAATTGACAGTGTTTTACCTGTATCCTGATTTTTACAGAGGAAACTCAGCGTGTGTTACGGCTGTCTTTAGATGAGTTTTCTCTGCCTAAGTTTTACCTACTCTTTGGAATAAGCAAGGTGAAGTCTGCTGCCGTCACAGCATTTAGATCTTCCTATAGACACACGGGTGAGCGAGGACTCAGGTAAGATACCAGTGTTTCCTGATGTTCAGTATTTTCACTTTTTGTGCAACTATATCTTTGCTCTCTTCATTTTCATGGTTTTTAATACTTGACGTGCTGTTGGAGTGTGAGCAAAGTAACATTTATGAAGGGGTTCAGGGAAACCGGCAGGCCGGACTTGAGTCCTGGAGATGGGAAGTACAGTGCCTGCACTCTGAAGGAGGGGTGTTAATGTTGCAGTTTAAAAACTGTAGTGTAAAGCACCCTTCTGGCAAGACAGTGATGGAGTGAATGATGGTGAAAGTTTTTCTTTTTCGGGCCACCCTGCCTTGGTGGGAATCGGCCAGTGTGATAATAAAAAAAATCTTTTGTTTTACTTCTTTGGAAGGAAGAAAATACAACATTATAGTTTATTAGTGAAATTACTGTATGCTCTATCTTTTTAAACGTGTTAACCCTTTGACTGTTTTGGTCGTATATTATTATTTTTTTTTTTTAACACATTGGCCGATTCCCACCAAGGCAGTGTGGCCCGAAAAAGAAAAACTTTCATCATCATTCACTCCATCACTGTCTTGCCAGAAGGGTGCTTTACACTACAGTTTTTAAACTGCAACATTAACACCCCTCCTTCAGAGTGCAGGCACTCGTATATATACACACGTTATGCATGCCAGTGTTTTTGACATATTTATATTCCAAAATTCTAGCTGCTTCAAATCAAGCAGAAGAAAGCTGGTAGGCCCACATGTGAGAGATTGGGTGTATGTGGTCAGTGTGCACAGTATAAAAAAGAATCTTGCAGCACACAGTGCACAGTGTGAAAAAAAAACTCCGACCGTGTTTTGGGATTAAAACGCTGACTTTGAGGTGTATTTTCGTATAGTATTTATGATTGTATTTTAGTTTTCTTGGTCTCATTTGATAGAATGGAAGTCATATTACAGAAATAGAGATGATTTTGATTGGTTTCATGATGAAAAGGACCTTGAAATTGAGCTTAAACTAGTGGAATTGTTCAGTTTTTGCCTATGTTTAAGAGTCCCATTAGTGTCCAACTAGCCATTCTGATACTCAGTCATGAATGGGTTGACATTATTTATACAATTATTACAATAATGCAGTAGTCTGAATAACAGTAAATCTCCTATTTTTGTGTGAATAAAAATTCAAAATAGAGAGCAAGAGTAGTATAAGAGGGGCCTGGAGACGTGACTGATGAACAGAGAAAATGTTATTTTAGTGCCAGGAATGTCTGCATTGTTCATTCTTAACCCTGTTTTGAAATTGGCATAATTTTTAACCCTTAAATTGTCCAAACGTATATATACGTTCTCTCGCGTAGCTTCCCTAATATTTTGAGAATTTTTTTTTTTTTTTTATAAGAAAAAGAGCATGTGGTACCCAGGCGTCGTCTATTTTTTTCATATGGCGCATACTGAGTGTGCACACCCATTCTCTCATGTCTAGGTGACTCAGGCCTATCGTGCCAATGTTGAATGAATGACAAATGGAACGTATATATATGTTTGGGGCGTTACGCTAGAGAACGTATATATACGTTTGGACCGTTTAAGGGTTAATTTGTTTGAAATTAGCCAAATTGCCAATTTCTGACCACTTTATTGGGTAATTGAAATCCGTAAATAGGCGGTTTCTTGTACTCAGTCTATAGGACAAACGGAGTTCTAAAGTAATAGCTATGAGTTTGGTCGACTGTAACAATGGAATTGGATGAAAATGGGGCTCAAAGTGGGCAAAATCGCTGATGCGTAAACATCACTGAGATCACTAACTTTGCGAGAGCGTAATTCCATAAGTTTTCCATCAAATTTCATTCTTTTGGTGTCATTATCATTGGGAAAAGATTCTGTATCATTTCATAAGAAAAAATATTTTTTTTTCGATAATTTTGTGACACAGACAGATACTTTAGGATTTGGGGTCACGACAGTCAAAGGGTTAAGTGAAACTTATTCAATAAACATTCCAAGTTCCTCATTATGTTAATTACATAAAATTTAACAAAGATCCAGCAAATACAATTTCTACTCATTTTTCATTTTTTTACAATTCTGTTTAACCCTTTAACTGTCAAGACCCCTGCTTACAAACTTGCTCTCAGTATTGAATTTTGAAAAAAAAAAAAAAAAAATTCTTGTGGTATGATAGAGAATCTTTTCCCAACGGTAATGACACTGAAAGTTCGAAATTTGATGGAAAACTTATGGACTTATGTTCTCTTGAAGTTAGCGGTCCCTGTGATATGTACATACAGTGGAACCTCAAAAATCGAACTTAATCTGTTCCAGGAGCTAGTTCTAAATTTGAAAAGTCTGAAATTCGAAGCAATATTTCCCATAAGAAATAATGGAAATACAATTAATCCATTCCAGAAACCCAAAAATATTCACAAAAAAATGCATTTTTTAGAGATTAATTACAGTTTTACATACACACAACAAATGCTATAGTCTTTAATTATGTATAGTAATATAAAATAACATTTTTACTTACATTTATTGAAGATTGGTGATGGCATCTGGAAGATAGAGAGGAGGAGAGAGGGAGTTGGGGGTTATTGTTTGGAAGGAGAATCCCCCTCCATGAGGACTTCCAGTATCAAAGCCCTCTCTGGGGTTGCTTCCCTTCTCTGCATTTTAATGCCGCTAGGACCAGCTTGAGAGTCATTGGACCCCAGTCTCACAAAATAACTGTCTACAGTCCTCTGTTTCTGTCTCACAAAATAATTGTCCACAATCGTCTGTTTGTCTCACAAAATAACTCCACAGTCTGTTTCTGTCTCACAAAATAACTGTCCACAGTCATCTGTTTCTGTCTCACAAAATAACTGTCCACAGTCCTTTGTACATCCTGGCAAGCTCAACAAGTCTCACTCCAATCTCATACTTCTGTATTATTTCCTTCTTCACATCTATGGTGTTTCTCACTTTTTTACCACAGGGGTACTGCTAGCAAGTTTCTTTGGGCCCATGCCAGCTTATTTCACAGCCCTACAAGCACTAAACACAAATAATCGAAAAAGGTGTGAATGAGATCGCAGGTTAGTGTTCACTCAAGCATAAACAAAGCTAGACTGCTCATGGCGCCTGCGCGGGGACACGGACAGAGTGGGCCAGCGGACAGGTCCCGTACTCGGTGGTCTGAAAATAGGGGCGCGTTTGATAATAGGGACACAGTTTGTCCGAAAAAATGGTCTTATTTTTGAAACGTTCGATATGTGATACGTTCGATTTTTGAGGTTCCACTGTATCGGCTATTTTGCTTACTTTGAGCTCTATTTTCAGCCAATTCCATTGTTCCAGTCGACCAAACTTGTAACTGTTTCGCTAGAACTCCATTTGTTCTATTGATTGAGTACAAGAAACTGCCCATTTACCAATTTTAGCTACCCACACTAAGCACGCAGACCCATTCTCTCACATGTAGGTCTACCAGCTTTCTCCCGCTAGATTTGAAGCCACTAGAATTTTGACGTATTAATATGTCACCGACACCACTAGCTTGTAAGCCATACCTATACATCACTGACAGTGAAAGGGTTAAATAGTAGTGTGAAATATGAATCACAACTTGTATAATGTTGATAAAGATTTTAATAGGAAAAATTTTTGCCTTTATTTCTGTTCTTAATGTATTTACATAATCTGTCTGCTTCATAATTTTTATAATTTACAGCAGCATCACTTTGAACAGTACAGTAGTATATTTATTAATAAACATACAGTAAGTTTTTTTTTTTTTAAATGTCGGCTGTCTCTCATCGAGGCAAGGTGATCCAAAAAAGAGATACTTTCACCATCATTCACACATAATCATTGTCTTTGCAGAGGTACTTGAATACAGCAGTTCAGATGCCACTGCAAACAGCCAATATTCTAAACCCCTCCTTTAAAGTGCAGGCATTGTACTTCCTACCTTCAGGATAAAGTTCAGCTTACTTTTTTTCCTGTATCTCTTCACAAAATATTACCCTGCTCACGCTCCAACAGCTCATCAGGTTCCAAAAACCATTCATGTCCATTTCTGTCTAACATGCTCACACATGCCTACTTCATGTCTAAGCCCCTTACACACAAAGCCCCTTTTACTCCCACATCCTTTCCTAGGATGAATCCTGGCACCACTATACTCTCATACATTAACCTCTTTGCCTCCATTATTATTATTATTATTATTATTATTATTATTATTTTTTAACTTTGGCCTTCTCCCACTGAGGCTGGTGACCTCCCCCCCCCATAAAATTAATATATATTTTTTTTTATGTAATAATTTATACAGGGCTCACATGTGGAAAGATTTTTCTCCACTTCCCTAAGGAGTATTATTATTATTACTGTTAAAAACACCATTATTTAGATAAAGTTATGACACTGTACAGTTATGAGCAGAGTACCTTGGAATCAATTAATTCCTTACAAACTTACATGCACATACAAATATTACAAACGTTTTCCTGATTCTCTAGCCTGCAGAATCAATAACTGATTTTTCTATAACATCAGTATTGTTTCGAGGTGTCTGCTTGAGCTGCCAATCAGCAGTTTATTTGTATGAAAAAATGTTTTGAGGGGTAACACTCCTGTGATATTGGCAGTAGTCTTTACCACATTTGAACAAGTAAATCATACCACAGAACGGGTGGGGTTTGAGCCCCATGGTGAGTGAGTCTTTTATGTGTGTAAGCCACTGGGCCAGCTGGCTACAGTAAGATTCATCCAACTATGTATATTTCTTTACACAATAGGGATGTTAGCCTGGGCCCCACTGTGGCCACAGATGCAAGTTTTTACTGATGAATCTTCCTCTAGCATGGCTGTGTCAAACTCTGGTATAAGTCCCCTCAAAGCTGCCATTATGGGTCATGAAATTGTAATAACACAATTGTAAACAAACCACAGAACTGGTGGGGTTTGAACCCATGGTGAGTGAAACGTAAAACTCCAGGCCATCTGGCTAACATCCCTATGGTGTATTGAAATATACTTAGTTGGATG